CTCTTTTTGTTTTGTATTCTCTGGACCATCCAGTCACAGGAATGTGACTTCAGCTATTTCGAATAACGATGCCATAAAAACCTCCAGCACTTTAAAGGACAGGAAAAAAAGTATTTAGTGGTAGTAAACTGAATATCATTGGTTTGGAAATGTGATGGACATTTTTTAACATTCTGTAGATAAAATAATTATTTAGTTGATTGAGAAAGTAATTGACAGATTGCTTAATAATCAGATAATTATTACTTGTAACCTTGCATTTATTTAACTGGATAGGTCACCAATTTCTATTTTGGGAATTCGACTCTTAGAAACTAGCTTAGCAACACTGTCCAATAAGTAAAATGTTGGGTGGATGATACCCCTTGTCGTGTGTTAGCGCAGTATAGCATAAACATCCCAGAGCTGAAGCAGGACCCCTCATGGAGGATTTTCTTTTGTGTATGTTTTCGTGCTCCCTTTCTCTCCTTCATCTTCTTTTGCTAAAGTGACCCCATTGAGATGTAGAGAAATGGTCTTAGGTGACAGTCATAATGAACATGATCATGTTCACTCAATAAATCTCAGGCCCGGTGCTTTTTGAGCACAAATCAGTGAAATGTTAAAGCCCACCTGTCTGTCTCCATCAGTCATTTCCACTGTCACCTCCCCACCGTCTGATGGATCACAGTTGCTGCAAAATTAGACAGCCTTGAATCTCATTTCTTTCCAATTGGCCTCTCTCTGCAATCTCACTCTAGCTGGCTGACATGTGCCGGTCCTCTATGGGAGGGAAGTCTCAGATAGGAACTAATACTACATACACTAAACACAGCTTTATCTCAAACGAGGGAATTAGGTTGCCTGCCTCCAGTGCACCTCAAAGACGAGTGCCATACGACTGCCAAATTCCCTTACATGCTATTTACATTATCATTCAGTCAGCAGTATATAGGACATGGATGGGCGGCTTTTTATTTGATGTCTAGTGACTTGTACTCATACTAAAAATCATCTCGTACCCATGTGAGAAGAAGATTATTGCTTTACAATATGTCACAGACCACAGTATCTAGAGTACTGCAGTGGGTTTTGGGACATTTGGGATATACTGTAGGTGAACGGAGAGATAATTACAGTAGCAGGGTATAATAACTGGAATTACTATGCTAATCTTGTGCACTGAAAAATAAATGCATTAATTATTTTTCCTTCTACAGTATTTATACCTGAGAAAGTGAATCCGATTAACCTATTTGTGCCCTTTTAACCCAAATTGTCCACTAACCCAAGAGTGTGAAAAGCCATAGGAGGGCAGGATGAGCACGTCCTCTATGAGATGGACGCCATCACTCCGGTCTACAGTGAGCTCTAGGGCTCACTAGAGGGAGTCAGAAACCTCTGCATAGAGGCACAGTCAGGGTCGGTTGAATGACTCCACAGCTAATGCACCACTGCTGCTCCATCTCTGATGTGCCTTTAACACCGCTACAATTGCATCCCACTGAGCTGAATTCCTTTGTTCTAGGCCATGCTGCATGGACACCATACATGCAGCATGGAGATCCAGATTTTTTAATATTAGGTTGGTTTAAAGAAGAAGAAAAGAACAACCTAGCATTGTGGCTGAATCTGTGCCTGCCTTTGTCTTGCATTGGTCCACGCTGCTGTGGGTACACTAGATGGCAAACTTTACACTGGAATCACCGAGCAGTGTGTACATCAGATACACTGAAAGAGATCAGATTCTTCCCAAATTGTGTTGATGAATGTCTTAATCAAAGGCTGTCCCTCTCAGGTTTCGGCTCATTGAAAAGTTATGATTGAATGTTAATAATCTTCTATTCCACATCCATTGTGAGGAGGCTACATCAGGTGGTCACTGATGTGTTAAGGGGATGATTTTGCAGTTTTGTCCTTCCACTTGGCCACGGACCATTTGAGTGTTAACTTTTTTAGTTCTGAGTGATGGAAATCCCTATTGACCTTTTGCCTGGTGCAGTTTGTACCAGTGAGTGAGAGTTTAATGACAAAAACAACAACAACAAAAACAACATAAACAGCGAGCTTCAGGCTGTTGTGTATGCAAGGCTCCTTCAGTTAAAAAAAAAAAAAAAGCTCTAATAGGTTTGGACAAACATGAGCTAAAACATCACACTGCTGCCAGGAAATGTTATGATTTGAGCAGAGGAAGAAACCATGTCGGAGACTGCTGGTGATTTTAAGACCCGACAGCAAAAGCATAAAACCAGATTTATTCAAATTTGAACCATAAAGGGAGAACATAAACTGCACAGGGCCGAGCTGACAGAAAGCAGACCTATAGCTAATATATATGAATGGATAGGTGATCCTGAGATATGACTGCAACCAAAACACAGGACAAAAACTCAATATGTCCAGCAATGATGGGGCAAAGGAGAAACGCGGTCTCTCATTAGCTCTTTTTTTGACCTTTGCAATATGGCAACAATATAGTAGTGAGCCTTAAAAAGGTCAGGGAAGACAGAAAGAGAGAGAAGAGCATAGTGCACTCTACAGCGGAGAGTGCAGCAGGGATGTGTTTGAAATCTCACAAAGGTTTTCTAGGAAATTATCACAATTTGCCTTCATTATAATATTAAAAAATAAGATAAAATGAGATAAAATCTATTTTTGCTTTTGTTTCCATTGTTGTCCCTGTTACCGAAGAATGGTTGACATCAACATTTAAGCTGCAGTGTTCCACTAACCCCTCTGTGCTATTTATTCACCTTAAGTAAACCCAATATCAACAGCGACACCAGGTCAACAGGCTAAACTGCCACGTCGTGTATTACCATGTGTGGGTTAATTCAGTGTTATGAGTTGATCAATATGAACGAGTAATCACGCTGCATTTAAAAGTAATTGGGAAAAGATGTCACTCCTTAACGTTCTGTCTCAGCCACAATAGATCATTAGATTCAAGTAAATCTCATCGTGCATCCTGCCAGCACATATCAGCAAAAAAACAAGGGAAAGCATGCATGACGCTCCACAGTGCTGTGAAGTCACGCTCTGATTAAAAACTTATATTAAAAGTGATAGTGACACATTATTACCTGAAGGATTTAGGGAACTCTTGTCCCTCATTTTTGGTGAAAATTAACCAGTGTTAAAGTCATCCAAAGGAACAACTATTTCTCATCATAAAAGCCAGTAACACGGGATGCCTCAGGTAATAAATAAATAAATAAATAAATAAATGTAAAAAAATATATAAATTTTTTTAAATCGCAGCCTTTCTACTCACTTGTGAGGATCTTCCATGTCTTTTTCTCATCGTCATAGTACTGGACCAAATTACTGGGGAGACGATCAGGTCCAGGAGGCAAACCACCCACCAGTAACAGCATCCTCTTATTGGAACGGATTCTGCAATGTCAAAAGTGTGGGTGTGCGGACAAGTGTTCAATAACATGCAATAAAAGACATATTAAGGCCTGGAATAAAACATGCAAACACAAAAACACAAGCACAGCTTCAACCTGACACCTTTAATTCCTTGATTTACTACGACGATATTAACAGAGCTTCCCTGGAGTATTTTTATTTTTCACTTTGCTGATGCTGATTGTATGAATGAATTAATCTGTGAATAAAATAAAGAATAAATGCACAGCTAGATGAATAACTGCTTCTTATCCAAGTACTTCTACTAAACTCAAGATTGCTAATCAGGAAATATGCGACCACATTTATTGTGATTAATAAAAATTGCTCAATCGTTTTGATGTGTTATTGGATCGTTATTGCACTCTAAAGATATCTTTTCAATTAGCTGTGAAGCGAGGACAGTCCTGTAGGGTGCCATGCTGGAGGCTAAAAGCACAATTGAGAACATAAACCTGCCTATACAATGTCTCCATTTCATTGGCTACAGTGATTCATGTGACATGCCTTAGCCAATTGTTGGAAATTTCCTGCTGTTTGTATATGATATATAACCTCAAAGCCGTGCACTTTACTGCACATCAATGACCATTATCTGGCTCCTAATGGATTTCAACACAAATCTACCAATTTATCACAATATGCACTAAAACATTAAGAGTAGCTGGCCTTTAGATTCAGACACATTCACCTTTTTCCCTTTCCCATATTTTACTTTTTTATGCTTGGGTAAGTCACCGTCGCCTCGGTGTATTCTCCCTCATGCTGGCCCAATCGGAAGTGTTTTAGGGTTATTCATATGCAAATGAGCCCCTGGACATAGATAATGGTGATTAATTGAGGGGAGAGAAACAGTGGCATGTGAAACTAATTATGAGGATTCCTGAATCTTTGCTCGTTTAGGTCCATATGTGGGATCAGATATATTATTGGGATAATGTACAAGTAGGTACTTGTAGAATGGTTTTATGTCCTGATTATTTCAGTAATTTCCAAATGTTTTCATAAAGTTTAGATTCTCTTGTGTCACAATTTTTTTTAGTTGTTTTTCCCCAAGGCTCACAAGTGTAGTGATAAAAAAAAAAAAAAACAACAACAACTGAATATTGATACTATCGATTTAAAAAAAAAAGTCTCAGCTGTCTGACTGTGATCAGTTGTCACCATAAGAGACAATAGCCATGTACTAACCAGCCCTAAAAGTGCAGATCAGGACAAACATGAAAGTAAGCCATGTTTTTGTGTGAGTGAGACACGTGCATGCAACACGAATGTAAGCAGCATTGTCCAATTCATGAAAAGGAATTCTAAAGATCAAATCAAATTTAAAAAACAAAAAACAAAAAACATTTTTGAATGTATTATATTTGTCTTCATTTTAATATCAGTAACAGGGCATCTCTGTACTTGGATCATAAGCATCTTGCAATTACCATTTAATTCTGGTCACAATTCAATTACAGCATTTCAAATTGTATTCAAGAGAGTTGCTACAAATCAAATGCATAACCTTTATCTAGATTGTAGCAATCTTGTCTACACTGATTAGAGAGTAATTGCACAGATGTGTGAGGAAATAAAGACATGTTTTCTTTTGTAAAACAGGAGGGAACATTGTAATGATGGATACAGTGGAGCACAGAGTGCATCACGACCTCTGGCAGCAGGTATTATGTTACAGGAGCACCAAAATCCTCATGAACTAGTCCTGAAATGCCACACTGCCTACATGGTCTACACCGACCACCTACATGCTCTACATTAAACAGGCGGTGGGATCAATACATGAGCAAGTGCATAATGCTTGTGTCTGTAATTTGTTCAAATTTAACAAGTGGGAGGCATTTAATTACCCACTGCCCAGTCTCAAACAGCTCTGTGGTGTGATTGTGTGAATTTATGTCTGAGTGTTTATCTGTCTCGTTCTCACCTGCTGGCCATGGTCTGCCTGCAGTGCTGCCTGAAGGGCATCAGGTGGTAGTTCATGGCATCCAGGAGTAGTTTCTGGCACACAGGGTCAGTCCTCATGAAGTCAACAGACTGAACTCTCTCCACCAACTCTGGGGCAGGTATAAGGGCAAAGCGTAGCCTCTTCATAAGGTCCGGTGCATAGTGCATGCGAGTCTCCCGGTCATGCTCCAGCCAGAGGACTGACATCTGGAAGAGAGCCAGCTCTGACTCCACTGGGGGTGGCAGAGCATCTAGCATGGCACACATCTCCTCAAAGTTCAACAGCAGCACATCCTCCACCAGGTACTTGTTGGCCAGCTTCTTGGTCTCATCCAGTCCATGGAGTGCAGCAATCTTGCAGATCTGCTTGTAGTTCTGCACAGAGATCTGGTCATTAAGGAACTGCACACTAAGCTTGGTAATCTGGGGGATATTGAGGATCTTGCTGACTGACAGCACCTCTTCCACTGTGTCCAGGGAAAGAGTAACATTGGCAGTATACAGGTACTCCAGCACTAATCGTAGTCCAATGGAGGAGCAGCCCTGGAGCACTAGGTTATTTATGGGCCTGGTGCTGGTGGTCACCAGCTTGTCATCGGGAGAGGATGAAGGGGTCCCACTGCTGCCCTGGTCCCCTTTGCTTCCTTCATTGTTGATTACATTATGGGAGGAAAAGAGGGATCTGAAATACTGGGAGCAAGATGCCAACACAGCTTTGTGGCAGTGGAACTGCTGTCCCTGGGCTGTCAGAGTCACATCGCAGAAAAGCTGCTTTCTCCACAAGAGATTGAGCCCATGCAGCAGGGTGTCACTGTGTGTTGGGTCAAAGGTGGATGTTCTATCACCCGATCTGGACATGACTTCCTGAATGTGAACGCCACCTAGGCAACAAATAAACCATGCAAGCCATTTACCTCAGGTCATTTATTTCCACAACACACGTTGCCTATACATCGCTATCAGTCAACTATTACAGCAGAAAACGATTTCTCGAATAAGTTATTGAACAGATCGCCCGTCCATCCAGCGGGGAAGAGCCGTCATGCCACGCCAGCCGGCGACAATCTACATCCAGCACGGCTTCATTCGCCTTCAACTTTGAGCTCTGGTCGTAAAGCAACAAACAAAAACGCAGCAGTTCCCACAGCGTGCCACTCTTATTCATTCTTAACTCAAGAAGCGGATGGTTTTAAATGGAGGCTGATGTTTGAAGGGCGCTGTCAAAACAAAAAAAAAAGAAAAGAAAAAAAAATCGGAGGATACGGAGATGCTGCGGCGCTTTCCCCCCTCGGTAACGCGGCTGAAGTTGTCGGATAAGGAAAAAAGAGGCAGCCGCTACGGTGGACGGATAACATGCAGCATTCAGCCAACACTTATCCCTTCTCCTGCCTTGCTGCACACCCCCACAATGAGGACATTACACATCGCACAGATTTACGGAGTCATACAAAAGCAATTAGTTTGTCTCCGAGCCGTCAGCAGCGGTACGGGTGCGTTTTGCTTTTTTAGCCTACCTGAGTTAAGCGGACGTGAGTATCGACAAAATATTCACTGAAATGCAGCTTTCGCTAAAGTTAAATGGGATGTGCATATCTTTTTCATACTTAGACTGTTACAAAAGCTATTTCCATGTGCGTAATGTGTGTAAACTTGACACAAGCGTGCCGTAACCGTTGTCGCCAGATTCTCTAAAAGCGCCTGTCACAACTAAATGATGTGAGCAGCTTGCCTGAGAAGGAGCCAAACTTACCTGACTTCAGCTCTTGACCAAAAAAAAGGAAAGTAAGCTTCGGGTTCCCAATAATCTCACTTGAATTTTCCTTTGTTCTCCTTTTAAGAAATGTCCTTTTTCCTTTAAAGTCTATGGCGTCTCAAAATAACCATTGATTCCAACTCATAAAGTCACTATTTCGGGTTATTTGTTGACGTTGATCATTTGTTCTTCTGAATTAACAAGAAGTGTGTGAGTGTGTGAGAGGGAGCTGTGCTTTCTGCAAGAGAAGAAGAAGAAGAAATATACGTGTGACAAATTATGCTACCAAGAAACAACACATCATTATCCTTGGGCCTGGGGCTCAGTGAGTCGTAACGAGAGTAATAGGAAATCCACGGTTGGGGAGAGAAACGGTCGTGCATGGCCGGTGGAGAGAGACCATGCAGGGGTATGGATGCTGGAGAGACTCGCAAAATTATGGCTCAAGGCTATTGTAAAAACTGTCGAGCGTAAATGACTGCGATTTCAAACATCTATGGAAGAAAGAAAAGAGAAAGGGGGAGAAAAACCGAGTCTTTCCCTCGCTGTTATAGAGAGAACCGTCAAGTTTTAGTGCGCATTGCTAATTAGTCAATTTCTCTCTGCCTTCACAGCCCGACGACTTTGCTGCTGAGCTGAAACTGCTAATTTCTGGGACCAGCCTTTTTTTGGCTGTGAACTGGATGGATGAATGGCTTGTCTCGCACAAATGACAAAAAGCCCCTGCCTTAATCTCCATCGCCAAAATAACCCCTCATCTCATTCTGCTCCTACTAGTCCTTCAAAAGAAGGTGCTCTACACAAACTGAAGTTATACATCTGTATAATAAACAGCACCCACCTCAATGTACAGACAACTGTGCAGACTTTTATCATGTTTAATTAAAAGCAGATAATACCCTCCTTTTTTCTACATTTTAGTGTGACACTGAAGCAGCATTATGAAATGCCACACATGTACAGAAGGGACATAAAGTTAAAAAAAACAAACAACAAGCACAAATAAAGAACATATATATTGTTTTCATTCATTATTACCATGTCTGATCAGTTCATTGTTAAAAACATAAGGCTTGAAAACACAAAGGGCTGTAACCTAATACAGTGTCCATTAGTGCACAGTAGTCCTGCTGGAGTATTTATATCCATACACCTGCATTTTTGCCCCCAGAGATCCTCCAAGAGTATAAGATCAAAGTGAATCCACTAAAGGAAGTGGCTTGATGAATCACATAGTAAAACTCCTGGTTGGGAATGCTCATATGAACTTATGGATTGCACCAAACACTCTGTCACCACCACAACAAACTAACAGCTGTGAGGCACTAAGTAGTTCCATTGCTAAATTATTAATCTGTCAAATCACTTTGGTATAGCTGCATACAGTTCAACAACAACGAGAGCTTTCAAAAACTCAGAAACATCTCATCTCAAAATTAGGATTCCTTCATTTACCCCCATCACATGAATATAAGGTGATATAATCACCTCAAAAAGCAAACAAAATGCTCACACAGCTAATCAGAAACCGTTAGAAAGGATTTATTAGGCCAGAATAAACTGTCAATTACATAAAGAGCTCAATTAGAGTAAATACACTTACATGTAGGACTCCCATGGGACCAGAAGTGACAGGTACTTCACAACTTAAGAAATGACAGATAGGGATAAATGGCTTTGTTCATATACTATGAAAGAGAGCACCGCCATGCTACCGTCAAGCAATAGCGGACCATACATTGGTAGCATTTATAATAAGAAGGCACCACAATGCTGTTTTGATGTTCAAGTGTTTGACAAGCACACAGCCTGCTAATCCCCAACTTGTAGTTATGCCGAGGAAATTCATTCTACATGAACTCTGCGGTGATGACTGATTAGATTGTGCGCTGCATCTCAAATAATCATCGTCACCGAAGGAAAACTATACTACTCTAATATTAATTAGCGGTTTGAAACCACTATGAAAGCACTTTGTTTTACTGTTTACCACGATTATTTCGTTACCTCATTTCCAGAGGTCTTGACACTGCACAGCACTACAGTAATTCACTGTATTTCACTTTGGAGTCACATATTGTTATCTTTACCAGCACACAGTTAGCACTACATTACCCAAGTCTCGAGCGAGCTATTCTAACGCAATAAAATGACCATTTCCAACTCTTTCAGCTCTTTGTAGCAACTCAGTCTCCTGAGGCCACTGGTCTTCAGATTGCAGGGCGTTTATGGTTGTAAGTTGTTGCAGTGTGCAGAAGGAGGGGGGGGTCATCAGATAAGAGAAGAATTTCTAGACTAATTAAACCCTTTGAGACAAAGAATCACACTACAGTGATTTACAACTCTCTGTACCAGTTAACCCGACTCATTTCTTTCTGTCATATTACTCAGATAGCATATCTACCTCTATGGGTAAAAAGTCTTTTTCTTTTTTTTGTCTTCAACGTTATGAAAAAAGGAGGGGTGTTAGTGTAAATAACCGCAGTTAGATCAGATTTAAATACTGCAGTATACTCATAATATAAGCTTTTAAGAGCAGACAAAGCTCCCAGCCACTGACCATCTACTCTGTTCGGTGAATAAGCCCCTGATTTTACCCCCAGATACTACGCATCTTCATATGTAATGCTTGCATTATATCATGCTTCCTTATTGTTTTCTTCAGCATAATTTTGTGCCCATTACAACACATAAAAATGAAGCAAAACACAAACTGTCAGCATTATCGTGGCCTTGGGTAACTGATTAAAGAGCGAACATTTAATCTAATCAGTGCAATGAAACAAAACAACAGGAGAAGCTCCAAAGTTGTGAATAGCAAAGTCTACCAGGCATAATTCCTTTTGCTGGCTGTTGCAGAGGGGTATGCTAAGATAGAAAGTATTATTTTCCTAAATGGAAGGTGTCAGATGGTCACGGAAATGTGATCGGCTGTTCAAGATCACTGCTTCCCATCTGCAATTTGTGACGTGTGAAAGATTCAGCCCAAATGTGCTCACCAAGCGTAAATCCTCAGCACTTTCTCTTATCGTGGAAAAGCAAGATAACCAGCTGTTTACAGATCAGAGAACATATCATATTAATATCATGGAGAGGGTGATATCATCTTGTTTGTAAAATATTTTGTTAACTAAGTGTGGTGTGGTATGGCAACCTATAAAGTGAAAGTTGTAATTTGTGTTTTAGCAAAAGTGCTGCAGTTTAAAGCCCCTTTTTAATGATAAAAAATATATTAAAAGGAGGAAAGCTGAAAATGCTGCGGGGAGCCTCTTCAGAAACACTTTGGTGAGACAAAATTAATGCAAACTGCATGTTACAGTAAATACTCATTACAAGGCTCTTAGAAGTTACATTTAAAGATCCACCCTTAGTTCCAGTTAACTGTATGTATGAACACAAGCAGGGCTCTCTTTATGCCTCCCTCTCCAATCTTGGAAGAGTTTACAGTTGTGTGGAATTATTTTGCACCATTTTTGGATTTGGAAACCAAACCGTATACTATACTATAGAGAGATTAGTTCTAAAAAAAAATGTAGCATTGGCATTAAAGGAACAGGCTGCTTAATCAGAGGTAGTTGTTATAATTGTACAAATTGAAGAAAGGGTCATCAAAAGTGCAATATTTGTACTAGCAGGTTCAGTTTATTTCGATTAATTGTAAAATCTCAACCCATCCAGTTTTCTGTTTCCTGTTTTTTTTTAGCACTTTTTTTGGATGTCGGGACTGATTAGCACATGCTTGTCATTTCAGATCAAAGTTAGTCAGAGATGATTCATAAAACGTCCACTGTGTAATAAATTGGAAGCACTTATATTTGCCATTCAGGGAGTATTGGGAGGCCTGCTGTTTTAAACCCCTAGATCCCCACACATGGCGTAGCCACCACAGACACGGCTCAGAGAGTCAGTCGGCAGCCGGGAGGTGAGCAGAAAGGAACAGGCGGTGTCCCCTCCAGAGTGAGCACAGGAGAGAGAGAGTGTGTGTGTGTGTGTGTGTGTGTGTGTGTGTGTGTGTGTGTGTGTGTGTGCACAATATGTGTGTGTGTTGTGGCATTCTCAAATGACAAAAGGATACCAGTTGTGCAGTTCAGGTGGGACGACACACGGAGGTGGTATGGAGACTCACCTGAGGGAGAGTCTGGGCTGCTGGGACCGGGGCTGTAATGGAGACCCAAAGTTGTGTATAGGGGCCGCAGGAGGCCACTGTGCCGTGGAGAAGGTTTGGGGGCTGGAGGAGAGGGGGCTGCTGTTGTGCAGTCTCCCCAGCGTGATGCATCTACCTTCAGGGTGGCAGCAGGCGTGGAGTGGGGTGCGATGGAGCGAACACGGGCTCAGTGGCGCGGTCACCTAGGGACGCTGAAGCTGCTGTAGCAGGACTGATAGTTATTCCTTGGGAGAATTGCAAGATGAGCCCCATTGTATTAGCAACCCCTCTTCTACTAGAATTGTATCAATGTTCTCAAATCTTTGAAGAATGAAGTCAGGGTGCAAAATATCTGACACTTAACGTTTTTTGCCGTTCACCAAAAGAAACTTAATTCTTGGACAAACAAAACAAAAAAAAGTAGGACGCAGTAAACAGTTTCCCTCACAATCGGAGCAGTTTCATTGTGTATCAGAATGACTGCTGTCAGAGTTAAACTTCAGTAAATTCCTTTGGCAATGAGAAGCTGGTAAATTATTCCATACTGATTTGAAATTCTCACACATTAAGCTTTTTAATTTCCAAGCAGTACTTTTGTGTTGCAACAGTTTGAGTCGTATCTTTTAGAAATTCTCTGTGTCTAATATGGTCAGCACTCCCAATTATTCACTCCACTGACAAGTGAAACAAATGGGACCAACCAGTGCATTCTGTATTATCTACACCCCTTGGATTCCCTGACAATAATTAATACAATGGCAAGCTGCTGTTACCAGCCTTGACGACATGAGCTCAACAACATAAGCTCTCCCTTTCCAAGAGCTCTTGAAAAGAAATTACATCCAGCGGTGAGGTCATATATATATATCGTGGACACAAGCAGCCGGGAGGTTATGTCATGTTACTGTCTGGGACCCTAGATCAGATGGTACTGTTAACATCAGCAGGTCATTATTCACATCATTACACCATGAATGAAAGGTGCGTGGAATATGTCAGGAATATATGAATGTAGCCCTGAACATAGAGATATACACAGCCTTTAATAGCAAAGACTGTCCCATATGTCAGCGAAGTTCATTAACATGCTACATGATCTTACTGAGGCAGCAGTGCTGACCATCTCACTGGTATGGTCACACACCATTATGTAGGGTTACTTCATTTGCTCATAATGCGGATAAACATGGGAGGAAAAAGCACCTTAATATATACACAGCATACAGTGAATCTAAGTAGTGTTAGGCAAACTGGTTCCATGATTTAAATAAAACTAAATAAAAGCAGATACAGTTTTGTTTTGTGTAATAGCCAACTGACCAATGTGTCCTTTTAAAGAGGTGTCACACAATCATACTAACCCCTCTTATTTTAGCCTACGAGGATATTAACAGGTTTTTTAATTATAGAGGAGCACTTTGCCTCAACATCCATTAAAGGAATGCCGTGCTAATTTTAAATCCTCGCAGCAGGCATTTGCATCAACAGAAGAAAAGTGGATGAGTTTCTCTTTAACAGCTGTAATTTGTGTTTTCCAATCACCATGCTGATTTCTGCTCATTATACTCCGGTTTCACACCGGTAAGTGAGCAAAGTTTGGATTGATTGACTCTAATTAACTAAAAAATGTTCCAAGCCATGGATTTATTATCATGCTAGCTAGCCACAAATGTCAGAGACTTTCACAAATTATTATCCTCTTAAGATAAATATCTTTGAAATCAAATGAGTGTGGAAACGCGAGGAACATGTATTGTTATACTGATGAATTTGTTTGTCATGTTTTTCTGCTGAGCTCCACATTAAAGACTCACCTGGGCAATCACACTGTTCCAGTGTATTGTTAAGCGGTACTGTATGACTGAATGACAGATGCTGTAGTTACCTAAACTTTAAAGGAACACACACTCAAGTCAGATGAATAAAAATCAGACGATTATATAGTAATATAAAAGAAAATCTTCCCAGATTACAGTGTTATCAGCACTGACCAAATAGGGTGTACCAGGGTGCACTTCATGTTATACTACCGAAAACCTATTTCCTCTCGTGTGCTCCAAAACTTGGCAGCATCTCCCTCATTGATATTTTAGACACAGTAGCACCTTTCTCAACTCACATTCTTTCCTCGACTCCATCGGCTCCATGGCTCAACTCTCCACTTTCTCATGAACAAAGAGAGGACGGTTTGAGAGGACGCCTCAGTTTTCCTGGTTTTAAAAAGATCTCAGAGCAGAATTTTGGTTAGCTTAAGAAGACAGAACATTGCTCTGATTCACTCGGCTTCACTCCAGTGATCAGAAGTGATTACTGAAGTGAATCCAAATGAAACGGGCCCATCGTCTGCACGGTGGCGCCAGGCAGAAATTGAGAATCATGCTGCCTGTAAATCAGATTTTCTCAACATGCCTCTTGCAAAATATGCCTTGATACAAAAGTACAAAAAAATATTCCAAACCAGCTTTGAGGTATCAGAGTATGCAACAGCACAGTGAGGCATGTGCTGTATGTTTTATCCTCATCATACTGAAACAAGCATGTAATGCCCCTCAGCTGTCAAGTACACCCCCCCATTAGTATTTCCACAGTCCATCCTCTTTAGAGTAGCAGCATTAAGGTGTGTGCACTTTGAGGCACGCCCGCAGATAGATGTGATGACATCTAGTTGTGGCTCACTTTCATTTATTTAAGGGATTGATTAGATGCAAGGAGAGCAGATAAATGTGCTGGAGAGGCACCTTCATTTGAGAAATTGCCATATAGTCAGTACAGAATATGAGACGGACTGAACATTTTTCTCCTCAAGATGCTTTTAGGGAGCTAGTGGCGTCGTGGCTTTGCGAGCAGTCGACCAAGTTAGTGTCATGCTGAATGTTTGTTCTATAGTATACAGTTGGCCCAAAAACCTATGTAAAGAAACTTTACCAAATATCTGAAAAAATATTTTTTTTTCCCCACATGAGAGATAATGTGTCAGTTTGATTTAAATATATATATTTTTACTTGTTTTATTTTGTTTTTTTCAAGCCGTCTTAGTTTGAGATGTTATGCTTAGTGTTATAACATGATACTGAGACATGTTTCAGTCAGTTACCGGTATTTGCTAAGGTTGTTGTGTCCATACTGCCCCCTTCTGTCTCCTCTAGTATGGAAGGCATCTGTTGTTATCAACAAAACAACAGCATCTCTATCAACTCAGAAGGAAAGGGTAACATATTTTCCAAGGAGTAGTCTAACAGCATTAACCTTGACGCTACTAAAATTCTAATGAGCATAAGCATAATTTGTACAATTTAGATTAATATATAAACATTGTTTGTTTTTTAACTTCTTTTCATTCTCGTGGAAATGATAAATATCTAGGGATTTCGCACTTTAGCATTTATACAGAGCAGACTTTGTGTTGTTTACCACTAGTATGACATTGTTTAAACATGATGAAAGAAAAATCAATTTTCTACAAGTACTAAATGTGATTCAGTTAAGATTCCAAATTGAAAACAGTGTTTCCCCAGGGTTCTTTAGAAAGCCAGTGGATAGTGCACACACAACATCCTTTTGTGCACACTATTTACCCCTGGATTGCTCCAGGCTAATGTCTCAATAATTTTCACTCCTTTCTCAGGTCCTTCCCACAAAGGACTTAACTAATGATCCATGGACAAAATGAAGCATTTAAATTTATTCATTAATCATTCATCTCCAGCTCATTGAAAATGCTAAACTTCCACAAAATTAAGATTGAATATTGAAAAGTGATTGAGGGAGACAGCTTTCAGTGAGTGAAGAGAGCAGAAGAGTGTGGGCTGCAATAACAAAAAATAGGTTCTTTGGAGAGACGACGGGCTTCGCATGGGCATGGTCAAGGTGGCCAAGGTGTACTAAGTGCTAGTTAAGGTCATGGGGTTTCACTAGTTGTAATTAGATCTTGGGATCTGGAGAAGCGTAGAATTTCTGTCAACACTGCCTGTAATTATTCTCTTTTCCAATTAATGGTGACATAGATTAATTATCTGATGAGGCAAAGCCAATTGCAATCATTCACCCAGCTAAAATTAGATCAGTCCTGACAGCAGCATGAAAGTCACCTGTTTCATTGTTATGGATTTGCTGCAAGTAAAGAGGGGGGAATAGTGAAGCGTGCTAGGGTAAGTAAGTTGTCTGGTACAGGTGAATGTCCAATTACACTGCTATTTGAACTGAAGGCATCTACTCATTGGATCCAGCGGCATCTGGATTGGCTTGTTTGTTCACCCCATAGCATCATCAGCGGTAGTAGAGTCATCTGTCAAGGATTGTAGGAAGGCTGAGATGAGTTCGCTTTCCTCTGACATCTCCTCCTGTTGAAATAAGGCACAAACAGAATAAATGAAAACAGGCTAATTAGGAAAATGCTGCTTTTGTAGAAAGGCACCAATAAAGCATCTTCGTTTCATGTGTCTCCTGCGCACACAGTTGACGTGTCTGCAGCTGCGAGAGTAAAGTTACCGTCTTGTTCTTATTTTTCGTCAGGAAGGAGAACAAGAGGCTCCTGGTGAACCGCGTCCAGGTTCAGTGCTCTTCTGTTTTAAAAACCTCAGCATCCAGTTTTTCTATTAAACTGCCTGGCACTGTCAACCAGCTTGGGAATCTGAACCAGCCTAGCCATGCAGAAATTCTCTGACTAACAATTATATCAGAAACAGGATCTTGGATTACTGTCCCCTGGGACTGGGGCAGTGGGCGTCTGCTCCAATCATTACTGGCCATTCAACAAGGCTCTGCACTGCTCTCCGCTGTTAGCCATTGTCAATTATGCCATCCCCAGTGTAAACTCGCAGAACACAAAGCTGAACTGCCAGTTCTGGCAGGAGTGTAACAGGATGACAGCCCGCCACCCCACCCTCCCTACTCCTACAACACCCCCCTCCCCCACCCACTCCTACACACCCACCCTAGGGTTCCTTGGCCTCCCTTCCCTCAAGCTACTTTTGAACAAACTGCCATTTGGCTTCTTATTCCAGCACTATAACTGTGAAAGCGTTAACCTGACCTCTCTTATGTTCTGCTCGTGGGGTTAAGTGGACATGATGGATTAGCACAGGCCTCATCAGGATTCAGCCTGGTTTCACTGCAG